TTGCCACTTATTGGCACCAACAAAGATGGCTGATGGATAGATGCCGCAATTGCATGACACATAAGCCATGGCAACCTAGTTATAGTCTCTATCCTTTGGATGGGGTAGGTGGCATAAGCCAAGACCAGTGCCATATGCTCGCTCTACACTAGCTCTCTAAGGAACCCAATTTGAGCCCCACCCCTCCCTTTCTTTCTAAGAAGCATCCTTCCTCTTATAGTTGATAGAAGCCAAACCTTTCAAACTCCACCTTGTGGTTGATAGAGGCCAAGCTTGGAACCACTTACATACCTCACATTGGCCCGCTTAAGCCCCATCTTAAGCCCCAACCTTGACATAAGAGAGTTGTTTTCATGGCATGTTACCAATGAAATGGTCCATTTTGATAGAGTCAATGACCAAGCTGCAGTGGAACTTGTTTTGAGGTCGAGGCAGCATAGCTAACTATTAACAATACTAGTGGCCATGCTCTTAGCAAGGACTACTATACAATATGTGATAAGTGCTATTATATTTATTCTCTTTAATAAGGATTTTTGAAATTATGGTTTTTAATTTTTTTTGGAGTTTTTTCTTCTTAAAATATTTTTTAAATACAATTCACAAGTTTACAAAAAGAAGAGAGAAAAAACCACAAATACTACAACACTTTACAAATTATAAAAACAAAAATATTTTTGTAAATTGTTTTACAATTGTGATTACAATGCAAAGAAGTATAAATATTAAAAAAAGGGACAAATAATGATTAATTTCATGAAATATATATTGAAATATATGTATATATATATATATATATATATACATATTTTTTCATGTTCATTAAATAAAATATTATATGTATTTGATTGCATATAATGTTATATTATTTTATTACATAAATTTTAATGGTGTCTTTATATTGCTTGCTATAGTAGTTTAATCTCATAGAAGGTTATACACATTTGTCACCATTTTCATATAGAGCTTCATGGTGCAAAGTAGAACAATATTGTAATACAACATTTAGACCATAGTCTATCTATTTGGCATCATTGCCCATCTAATATCATTGCTAACTTCTTATATTTTGCTTCAAATTAAGCCACACTTTTGCACCATTTGGTGTTGATCATCAAGAAGAAAATATAATGTGATAAAGAAAATTATAACCTATTACAATTGTAAGAATAGCTATAACCAAAACATATATCTTGGCCCAAGATTATAACAATGGCTTCAAGCAAAACATATATCTTGGCTTAAGATTCATGAGTTTGTCAAGTTCAACTGAAAATAACAAATCCTATCATAGAACTAGATTCTTATGGAATGATTTTTTGTAATATTTATTGAAATGCCCAAAAAATCTCGCCCTAATCACTTATTAGCATCTATATGTATACAATGCAATCATCTAGTATTTCTTTTTGAAATTTTAATTTGTTGAAGTCTACAGAAGAGACACTTCTGACATTGTAAACATTTCTAAGTAAACTTCCCTTTGACTTTAAAAATACATTCTCAACAAAATAATAACAATAATATTTATTCAAAATCCAAATAAAATACATGCAATCCCAAATTAAAACTCCAATGAAACTTTACTCAAAGTGCACGAACCCTTGTGACCAATGAAAAAAAAGGACTTGATTTACCCACCCACTTCAGGCCTATCCATGTCACAGTTCAATATGCACAGAAAATAACCATAAAAATATATGTATGTGTCCGTCAAACAATCAGTCATTCAGTCAGTCTACAAACACACTCTTACCCTCCAATTATTCCCAAAAATCCAAGACACACACTCTCTCTCTCCCTCTTGCTTGTGGAAAAAAGTGGGGATGGATGGATGCCAATTGGTGAGGGGGGGAGCAGCAACCGAGGCAGGGGTTTTATTTTGATTTTGATTTTATAGCAAAAAGGGGGATTTTGCTAAAAACACATTCTGTGCTCTCCCTTGGCTTGTTCCCCACATTTGCTGACATGGCCTTGAGTAGAGGATGTGGTCGACATGCATGCAGGCAGGCAAGCAAGCCTGTGATGGAAAACTCCAACTTCATTGGCTATGTGAATATTGATTCTTCTTCTGTCTGGTGGGGGAGAGGGGGGGGGGTCTTTAATCCCACCCACACTCTTCATTTCTCATCGTCTTTCTGTCACTGAATCACTTATTTATTATTATTACATAAAATATATCTACACATGTACATCATCCACACAAACGGCTCTGAGGGGGGTGGTGGAAATAGGACTATGCGATAGTTGGATGATGAGGATGATAATTATATTGCATCATCATCATCATCATCATCATCCACTGTGATTCTTCCTCATTCATCCGCATGCAACAATATTAGGCTGAGCCAGGCCGAACTGAACAAAACCAACACATGACTGACTCTCCATTGCCGCATGCATTGCTGACAGTGTACAATACAAAATGGGATTGTGGGACAGTGTACAATACAAAGTAGTGTTCATTCATGCCCAATTATATCATCAACCCTTTTGGCTCTTCTCAGCAAATGGCCTGCCTGAATGAACGGGTGAATGAAAAATCATATTGACTGACGGACGGATGGATGAACGGCTGTCTTCTGTTCTCCCTTAGTCATGAAGCTATTTCCTTTGCTTCATTAGTGTGTAATATACTTTGCATTGAAACTTTCAAAATTGTTGGTTCACATGGACCTCCATTAGCAAAACATTGCAGATATGATAAACTTGAGCCTGAATTTACATCCTTTATATCTTGTACTGTTTGGCAGAATCCCTAATCCAAATTGTACATGTATCTGTTATTCAAAGAAGTCATCCTTTCAAGTAGTGTAATTTTATAGTTTTTTTTCTTTTCCTCTTTCCAAAAAATGCATGCAATACTAGATATGTTGACGAGTTCTCAAAATGACAGCCAAGGAACTTTTCAACAACAAGACATTTTTGTATGTTTGGTTCGAAATAATAAGTTTTTTTTGCATTGATAAAAAAATATTCTGGAATACTTTGATGCTCTACAATGTTTTTATGTACACAGTAATGTTTTGGATTTGAAAATGGAGTTTTAATCTAGATATCACACCTACAATTGCACTTTAAGCACATGTCCAAACCTCTTGTATATAACTATGGTTTTAAAAATGGTTTATAATGTATAAAAATTATAATGTTGATTAATCGCATTGCTCACCATAAGATTTGATAAATGATGATTATTTTATTCAAATTGAAATCTTTAAAAATAGAAGTAACCCCTCATCAACTGTCATAATCACAAACAATACAATCTTATTTATCAGCAGATTGTTTTTTACTTCTGAAATTATGAATACTCAAAATAAAAAAAAATAATAAAAAAAACTTGTTTGATTATTGTATTGTAATGTATTTTTTTTAAAAAAAGTGACTTAATTATGGGACACAATAACTCACTATCCACTTGCATCCAATTTTACAAGATTTCATAAAGCAAATAATAGAAACAAACTCCCCCCCCTCCCCACCTTACTGTAGGTATGCACATGTAGGTGCATCCAAAGGCTATTTAGAATGTTCCAAAATGCTTTCTATTTCATTTTCACATGCATTACAATTACCCAAAAATGAACAAAACAAAAGTTCAGAACACACACACATCCACATTCACAATTACTGGTTACACAACATGAACAACAACAAAGTACATGTGCATGAATGCATAACACCAATTGGGTCACATCATGGGTGCAATAAATACATATATACATGCCCACACCTCCAACAAAAACTAGAACATCAATCTGCAAAATTTTCATGACATAAGGGGAAAAGTTTGCAGAAAAAGGGAACATGAGAGCCACATGAATGATCTTCCTTCCAGGTGGTGGTCACAATACCATTCATTTATAGATCTTCATTTATGTTTTAATTTTTATATGTTATTTTGTTTTATTTTGTTTTATAATTGCAGTGCCATGCAGACCATGAAATCATCAACATAATGATCATGTAGTGCTTCTTTTCCCTCTATTCTTTGCCACTCTGACTCCATGAACATCAAATTCTCTGTTCATCCATGTATAACTAACTCTCTATTCCTTTTTCACTGCTTTTTCTACATCTAGCTATTGGAGATAATGAGTCCCAGAGCCTTGAATTCAGCAGACATATGAACACCCTGCTACACTGAAGCCAGGTTTTGAATGTTACTTTGGGTAGATGCTGCAGCACCTGCCTCATTCATTCATTCATTCATTCATTCATTCGGCTTTTTCCCCCTTAGAAAAAGACACAAAAAGGTGGGCACACCTCCAAAGGTGGGTTTTACCATTTCTTTTTTACTTCTTCTCACAAAGCTGCACACCACCTTCTCTGCACCCTCCTCCCCCCTCCCCACTTTTATCATCTGTTGTAAAGGAGATTTACAGCTGGACTGGACACCAACCCACTAAAGTGGAGTCAACAAAACAAAACAAAAAAAATTTATTTGTTTTCAAAAAAAATGTTATTAGGTATGTAAAGAAAATTTAATTTTTTCCTTCCATCTGTATTTTCTTTCAGAAGGGGGGGGGGTTGGTTATACAAGGCAGGCAGGGAGGGCAGGGAGGGAGGCCAGCTACCTGAGGCTGAGGCTGAGTCTCTCTCTCTCTCTGTCTCTGTCTCTCCCAATTCCTCCATTCCTCTATTCCCTGTTTGCTTATTATTCCCTTATTCTTCTATTCCCCCTCTTTTATTTTTCTTTCTCTTGCTTTCTCTCTTTCTCTGCCTCTATTCCTTCCCTGTGCCCCACACGCGCCTTGTTGTGTAGTGAGTGTTGTGTTGTCGGCTGTGTTGTTGTGTTGTATTAGTAGTTGTATTCTTCCCAGGGAAGGGAAGGGAAGGGAAAGGATACCCCCACCCCGTCTGTCTGTCTGTCTGGCTGGCGAACTTGTTCGTTCGTTAGTTCGTTCGTTCCCTCTGTCTTCTTCTTCTTCTCCTTCGTGTTCGTCGTCCTTTTTTCTTCCTTCCTTCCTGTTTTTGTTGTCGTTGTTGTTCTTCTTCTGGGGGGGGGGGGGGGAGGGGAGGAAAGGAGAGAGTATTTGCAGTGAAACTCGCTAATGTAGCCTAAGTTTCTTCCACTTTTGCTGCTTTGTTGGAGGCTTGCGACCGCGGCATGCGACTTTGATGAGGGTCGAGGCATGCATTGCATTGGGTGGCATTGAAATCTGTGCGACCAGGGGGGTGGATGGGGTGGGAAGACGGTGAAGATCATCGCAGATAATAGGGGCTTGGGTCGATTGATTGATGATCGGACTAGTAGGAGGGGGAGAGTGGAGACAGAAGTGGGTCGGAGGAGGAGGAGGATGGTGAGGATGAGTTGTCGCGAATCGTCGGTATCATTCCCGTGAGGTTGCTTTGTTGTTTTTGTTGTTGTTGTTGTGGCAGCGACCCCTCCCCACACTTCGACATTTTGAAGAGTATTTCGTTGCGCTTGAGCGCAGGTTTGTGGTGTTACGGGAAATGGAATGATGAAGCGACCTTACACGAGATCGGATGTAGATCTGGGACGTGAATGTAGGGCATGAGCTGAAAACGAAGCGGATCTTTGGGCAGAGCAGAGATCGTTCTTCCAGAGTGGCATAGTTATTTAATTATTTATTCGTTTTTCTTTCCCTAGGAAATGGACTTGTAGATCATTGCGGAAACTCTTGGCGATCGTACGACACGCCGTCCTGCATGTGAAATAGCGGCAGTAGAATCGATGGAGGTGATCTCAGGATCAGGCTTGGGCACACGCAGCAGCTATTGCGGCGGAGTGGATTTAGGGAAAGGCGGGGGTGCTGCAGTCAATACCTCTTCTTGTTGCAGGTGCGGGATTGATGCTCGTTCCTCTACATTGAAAGGCCTCGGGCTTGTGTTTAACTCTAGCGAATCGAGCTTTGGGATCCAATTTCCGCCCAAGGCCTTCGAAGGGCAGTATGGAATGAGGCGTGTCAATGCCGCTGCAGCGACAGGGAATGGCGCCTTCACGGGCGGTAACAGAGCGGAGGACGTGAACGAGGCAATGTCAAGGGTAGTGCCGCCCATTCTGTTGGAAAAGGACAGTGCAGCGTTTAGAGCAATCCTGGCTGCCATAGCCGGTGTGGCTCTGGCGGCAGAGAATCAACGGCGTCATGACAAAACTGAAGTTCCCGTGGATGTTTTTCGACAAGGAAGGCTTGTGGAGAGCAGACTAGTGTACGGGCAAACATTCGTGATTCGCTCGTACGAGATTGGAGCTGATAGAACCGCATCCATTGAGACGATGATGAACCATTTTCAGGTAACTAATTGGTCAATAAATTTCCGCCTTCCATCATGATACTCATACTTACCTCTGCGCATCGACACCCACCTAAATTTCTATCTTGTAAAATTTATGGATGGCAGGCTTATTCGTAACATTCTGCAGTTCGTGACGGCGCAATTATGCGTCTTGGTGGCTCGTTATAACACTTTTAAATTTCTGTGTGAATATTGATTCTGTGTCACGTGGCGGGTGACGGGTATTCCTCAGGAGACCGCGTTGAATCACGTTTGGATGTCTGGGCTTGCGGGAGATGGCTTCGGAGCTACACGGGCAATGTCGTGCAATAATCTAATATGGGTCGTCACCCGAATGCAAGTCCATGTCGAGCAATATCCTGCCTGGTACGTTGCACATAGATTAGAATTCCCTCTTCGATGTGCTAATTGGCAGAGAGTCGCCCGGTATATGAACGGAGTTTACCACGAGGTGGAGGGTTGTCTTACGGCTTCTTTTTGTTACAGAACCGGCTTCCAAGAGCTTGTGACATAGATCATGTCCATCTGTGTGAGCAGGGGAAATATTGTTGAGATGGACACATGGGTGGCAGCTTCTGGGAAGAATGGAATGCGTCGGGATTGGCTTGTGCGAGACTACAAATCAGGACAGATTTTAGCGCGAGCTACCAGGTCAGTATCCCACCAAATTGTCCTCCTTGAATAGTATCTTAAGTAATCTACTGAAGCGAGTGTGGTCAGTGAATTGGCTGAAGGCGTATCATGGTGATATTTGCAGTTCGTGTTGTGTTGTGCAGTATATGGGTGATGATGAACAGAAAGACAAGAAAGCTTTCTAAGATGCCTGAGGAGGTCAGAGCAGAGATCTCTCCATATTTTCTGGAGAGATTTGCCATCAAAGACGAGGATGAGATGACGCAGAAGATTTGTAGACTCAATGGCAGCGCCGAATATGTCCGCTCGGGATTAACGGTGCAGATCTTTTCCTTCCCCTTCGTAGATTTAGCTTAGTTTTTTATTTTTTAATTTTCAACTTTTTTTTTGAATTTGAACACACAACACTCTTTTTTCCTTAGGCAGGAATCACCAATTTTGACAAGCTGTCTATCTCCCGTATTTCTGATGCAGCCAAGACGCAGTGACTTGGACATGAACCAGCATGTGAACAACGTGAAGTACATTGGGTGGATGTTGGAGGTGAGTTCATATGAAGTTGCTCAAATCTCTTTCTCAGATTCTCAGTTTGAGATGTGATTGATTTTCCTGGCCAGCATTTTTTTTTTTTTTTTTTTTTTTTTTTTTGTGTGGATGTGGAACGTTGACACCAAATCCCGCGTAATGCAGACTGTCCCACCCGCCGTTTTGGATGGGTATGAATTGGTTAGTATGAACCTGGAGTACAGGCGAGAGTGTGGGCAGTCTGATGTGGTTCAATCCATGACCAGTCTCGAGCCTTCCACTTCGGATTCACAGAGCGACGGCTCCTCTTTGGAACTGAAAAGAATAACAAATGGGACGCATGACGGGGGTTGTAACGGTGCGTCTAATGGGGCGTGTAGTGGACGTCCAAACGCATCGTTGAACGGGGCGTCAAATGGAGCATTAAATCCGTTCTCACACGCAGCAGCACCGTCGGCAAGGATGCCGGAGATTAAAGCCGCAGATGGGGGTAACTTGCAATTTGTACACTTGTTGCGTATGGAGAGTGATGGAGCTGAAATCGTGCGAGGGAGAACCCGGTGGAGACCCAAAAAGCTAAACCACTCTCAACTTTCATAGCTCTCCAATCTCTTCTCTTCGATTCCATCAACTGCAAAGGCTGTTGATTGACAGCAGAAGGTGCTATTCAGGAAGAAGTTACTCTAATTCCTCTCTTCTCTCAGATTGGATTTATTGTCCCTTTTCTTAGGTTGGGACTACTGTGGTCATTTCTTTCAAACTTCCAGATGATGACGAAAAATTTAAGCCTGATTCGTTGCAATAAGGTGTCAAAGGTTATCGTACCTTGTACAGAACAAAAGTCGTAGTTAATGCTTTTGCTTGCTTTCATCTTCATGAAAGCAAGTTTGGCAGATTATTCTTTTCCATGACAGCTTGTACAGTTTTCATGATTTGTAATCCAGGATAAACTTGTGTCTTGACCTTCTGTTCTTTCAAGACTTGTGCATTCTTAGTCGTCAGCTTGCTTCAGAACTAGCAGAAGATGCTGCAACCGTAGCCATTTGAATGTCACAGCACTATGAAGCATTGCCCTGCGAGCTACTGAGGTATTTGTTGCATTCTTGCGTTGTGTCCTTCGTTTGATTTTCAATCAATGTTGTGAATCTGTTCATTGCACCCTATGTAGTACATTTTTGAGTCCTTCAAACTACCTCCTTTTTTTGTGTAATTTTAAATTATTTAAATTTTAAATTACAAATAAATTATGTATTTTTTGTGTTATGGGCATTATTTGTTTATTTTTTTTTCATAATTTATTACTTGGTTAAAAACATATTTTCCCTTCTGTTGGACATGAGAGCTTGGAAAGATGTGTCGATGTTTCTGATTTAAGCTCGTTCTCGTATTTCTCGTTCTCTTTCTCGTATTCGTATACCCAATCTATAAATTGCTATCAAATTTTTTAGGTTATAAAAAAATCTAGCACATTAAACTTGAACATCCTCTACCATTAATATGAAACACGTTGAATTTTAAGATTTTGATTTAGATACATATGTAAAAAGGTGAAAAAAAGAAAAAAAGAAAAAAGTATCATATTTGTATACATTGTAATATGAAATCGACCTATTTGTTTATTTGTTTAATGAATCTACCAAAACTTTTTGTATAATGGAAATTATTTATTACAAGATGTGGAATATAAGGTAACATTAAAACACATGTAAAATCATATTATATAATATGTTTTATTTTTCTTATATTAAATAATATAAATTTTAATTTTTGCTTTCAAGGAAAAAAAGATTGTTAAAAAATTAAAACAAACAAAATTACAAGTTTGATAAACTTAAGATAGAAAAAATAAAATATTTAATCTTTTAATTTTTTAAAAAAAGACATTTCTTTTGATTCACTTTGTTCCATTTGAACAAATAGATCCCTTGTTGGATGGTCTTATTTATTTGATGTAATTGAAATGTGTTATGAAATCACAAATAGTTATTGTATACATTTATTAAACATGACGTTTATCATAACATTATAAATTTCAAAACAAATCAATGCAGTCTTGATTGGTTTGAGTTTAATTAAAAACACACGACTCCTAAAATGCTAGGAAATGTTTTTACAATAAAGCACAATTTCGATGACTTATTACATAATATCTCTTAAAATCTTAATTATTATATATTATCCAATGATAAAGAAGATACAAAATATGCATTTCATTCCACTGAGATGTGGATTTAAACACACACTTAACTATACAGTTGATTTTGTTGAAGGTTACATATTTAATTATATTCATAAATTGTTGATTGAAGTACACCAAAGTATTAATAACTGAAGTAAATAAGAAATTGATTGACTAAAATCTCAAAAATACTCCGATTTTAACTCTCAACAATCATTTCTTCCTGTTTGTTAATTTGTTTTACATCTGAATTTTTGTACCAAATAAAGCCAACGATAAACTCATTTTTTTTGTTAATTGAATTTTATTTTAAAGCTGGCTGCAGAATACAATTTCAGAAGTTTCTATTTTAGGTTAGTGGTAATCACTATGAATGCTCTTCTTTCTCTTTGTTACCAGTGACAAGGCCCGAAAGATAGATCGATCCACCCAGTGTCGTATTGCCACTGCTGCTACTACTACGACTATTCCGTGGCACTATCGAAGATCAGTTCCAAGGCAAACATTGGCCTAATGGTGCTCATCTAGACGGGCACATGTCATCAGCCTGATCCATCCACCATGCAATTCATGGCATGGCGTCGATGCCGAAGTTCGTGGCAGATCTGTATTCTCGGAGCTTGAACCAGTAATCATGTTTCAGCTTTTTTGCCAATAGTGGGGGTTGGGTGCCAGCAGGGTGCTCAACATCAATTGTTGTAGTCTCATTGTGTTCATGATCAGACGGTAACCGACGAATACATTTCTGGAAGGGGAATATACTAGCGTTTAGAGTTGATTTCTGTCACTACTGCTGAGAGCATCTTAACAGGGCATATAAACTAATAGTGGTTTTTTGTACGATAGCTGGGCATCTCAATTGGGTTCAGGTTTGCTGGTTTGTGGGTGATACCATGAGGCCCATGTTTTTGTCGTAAACCTGGATTGGATGACTGTCACTGAAAGTTCATAAGACGACAGCAGAGGTTCAGCTTCCGATGTCCCAAATTTCACCACTACAAGGTGGAACATGTGCAGCGAGCTGGGATTTTAAAAGGGCACTCATTATCTGTGTGTGATTGTGTTCGATTGGTTGATGCCATTGGTATTGACCCAAATTGCGTTATTACTGAAATGCTTCGATGACGACGATCGCGACTCTCAAAGGTCTTCGTCGGAAATTCTGGAAGCTGGATTGTTTAAAGAGGGTAGTCCCCAAAAAAATTGCGCAAAACCTCCAGTATACTATAATAGGATTCAGACTTGTTACAGCCGAATTGACCTAGAACTTGGCCACTTCAGTCAGTTTGCTCAGGAGCTGATCTTAGAGTCGCAGATGAGTTGACCAGCTGGAATTTGTACGTAATGCTGAGAACATGAAGTTCGCGGAGAATCCTGGAAAGTTTCCTAACGAACTGATGTAAAAGGAATTGAGACAAATCATTACGAAGAACCCATGCAGTTTGCTAGTCGTGTTGTGAGTGATGCTGAATATCCAAGAGTGTAAAGAATTTACTAGGATTCTTCAGCAGTTACATTGATTAGGGTCAGAGTTTCGACGTCCAGATTGCTCAGACACTACCGTATTACGGCGTTTGGTTCTGGAGATTTGTATGACTAGTTTCAAACACAGGACTGTTCCAACTCTTAAATCCATGTTTAATACTTTAATCTATGTTCCACATCCAATAACAGTTTCAAAATCCGTGAAAGAGACAATTTATTAGACGCATAGTTGCCCTTCAGCCAGGGAATCATGCAGTGGAGCTTCTTAACACCATCTTCACAACTAACCCATCACTTTCAAAATCCACTGTGGATGGTCCATCAGGACATAAGGAGTATACATCCTCCTCAAGGCTGTACAGCTGCAAGAAGCTTCTCGTAAACTTCTCTTACAGTAAGATCTTCCACCTGGTTTTCCCACCCACAATTGCAACCACAGAAAATGGTCACGTTCAACACGCAAGGTGAGCAAAATGTAGATCTCACCATTCTACAATTGTTGTCTTATAACACATGATCCGTGCAGAGCGGATGTACCTTACTCCATATCAACAAAGAAAAGCGGGAGTGTTTGCGTGAGAGCTTACCACGAGAAGTTTAGATTTATTATTCCAGCCCCGTTGTAGAGTCATTTGTGTCAATCTTAGCCCCAGCACCTGTACTAGAAGATATCAGTCACTATCCAGCCAGTTCTAAGAAAGACATAGATCATGTTGTTAAAATATCGTCTAGGCCTAATTCATTTGTAGTGTGCCCGTAAGTGCGTATGAAAGAACTGAATCGGGCTACTTGACAGCATCAAACAAAGGAGTAAAGTATCCATCAATTATTCAAATGTGTTATACAACACCACCACCTTACGAATTCTAATGAAATTCAATGAAAGTATGTGAGACGCTACCTTCCCCATGTACTCAAGCAGCTCGTTGTTTGCTTCACCACGGGCTGCAGGTGCAGCCACAGTTACCCGGACATCATCCGCATTCACACCTGTAAACACACTGTCGTCAACACTGTCTTCATCGAATCCACAAGCCGAGCCCTAACGCAAAGTCACGGAAGCATTGCATTGAGAGGATTCCTCTTCAGAGAAAAATCTCAAGCATCAACGTGAAATTTAGATAAAATTAATGTGTAGGAGAACATACGTGTAATTTGGGATCGTTGTGCACGATCTTCAACTTCTATACCAACCTGGACCAAGCCGCCATCTATTTGTGATATGCACGGTGGTACTGGAGCATCCTGCAAGCATTCACATCAGTTCCATCCCCACATCAGCTTGACCTACAGACACAACAATAATGGATTATACGGACAATCTCCCCAAGGCCCACCCTTGGAATATCCACTGCAGGTCAGATTCTGAGACCTGAGGGTTGGTTTCTGCAGCAACAGAGCTAAGAGCACCGTCTGTCACGTACAGGTAAGGAGCTGCTTCCAAGTCTTCCTCACAGCGATAACAGACGAATAAGCCACAACCATTACACTTCATGCGATACTGTTTCTCCACCTTCCCTTCACCCCTTTATCACCACACGAACCGGATGGTGAGATAAGCACACAAATGGCCTTGCAACCGCAAAAAAAGATAAAGCCCAAAAAGTTGAACATTGAAACTGACTCAGCCGGGTAGTCAATTTTGAAGAGATGAGCAGAGAGAGGTGCAAGTACCTCTTAAGCAAGTGCTTGCCAGCCTCTACAACATTAAGTCGGCTGAGGTGCTTGTTACGATCCAATACATATGCTCTGTCGGTTTTCCTCTTAGGCATTTTCTGCAGCTGAGTATCTGCAAGACCAAATTGACGCTACCGTCACGTCTGCTAAAACCTAAAACGAGAACATACGCACAACGACATTTTTGTATTCCACAACGCTTATATGCAAATTCGACAACTAGCTTTAAACTGAATTTCGAACGCGAGCATTTCAGCAACCTCCAGATGCTGAGGATTTCATTTTAGTATTGAGTGATCATCTACATTGACGGGATATCCTTCCCTCTTCACACTTGAAAACTTCCAATTAGATGAGCAAAATCGAAAAAGCCTTATCCACTGATTCCAGACCTCCACAACCAGCTGCCAATGACGTAGGAATTGCAAAGTCCCTCTCAAAGAAGTCCCTCACAAACGAACACAACCTAAAATGTTCCGAAACACCAAAAGTGAACGTGATTCATCAAATGGTTGGCATCATAGAAATCACCAAATATAATCCAGAAATCATTGAGCTGGGTTTCACTCATTACCCGTGATCAACACATGAGCACCGCAATGCTTGCAGTAGTACACGAAAAGCTCCGACTCAGGTCCACCTGGTGCTGCATCCTCGCTGGAATACGTGTGAGTAGTGCGCTTGGGCATCCTTCCTTTCTCTCAAAATCAATCACTAATTCCTTAAGTTACCTCGCAAACCCCACAATCCTACGACACTCAGCGGCAGCAGCAGCACCATGCAACACCAACTACGTTGTGAGCTGGGTCAATAAGTCCAATGTGGTGATGTGAACAGTCATTCGTAGCTCGCACATGTACTCCCCAACATGCGCAGCAGTGTATAAAAGGTAGACTATCTCGCGTTGCTGTGCTTCAAGTCTAGACTCTGAGCTTGGACAAGGCTCCGGAAAATTGTAGCGTCAATTGATGGTGGGAGTACACGTTTCGACATAAGTGTCGGTGGTTTTTGGGAACATTTACTGATGGGAACGATGACTTTGAAAGCGTTAGGTTAGGGTTTGTGGTTGCGTCATCGTAACCGGGGGTTTCTGCCGCTGGGGAGTGTTTGGCGGGGCCGGGTGTGCCAAGCTCTGCCTTCCTACTTCGGTGTACTCGTATTTACCAACACTGTAGAGAGAGAAGTTGTGGTGTCTCTGAGGGCTGGACAGGGGTTGGTTCGATGGTGCATACTGCAGCAGACTGATGGAAGCCTAGATTTTGGTTACATACCCATCCTTTGGGCAAACGGTTTCGTGGAGGCTGTCTTGAGAACCAGCACTACCGATCGTTTAGTTGGCACACAGGCTGCGCTTCCTCGTCACCTTCATTGGTACATTGAAAAATCTTGGAAAAAGATGCGTTGGGCATATATTGAGCAACCACCATTTAGTCTGTAGATGATCTTATGTTGGCCAAGTCCTCGAGCGCTAAAGGCTCGGAGAAATTCACGGTGTCTGGTTTCATGATGGGTGGGAACTTTGGGTACTTCCCCACCTCTCAGTAAATCTCCTCTCCGACTGGAACCTAGCTTCCCAAGCTTAAGGGTACGGGTTTGTTGTTCCGACGCATGGATTTGGTTTTACGACGTGTTTTTTTTGTGAAGTTAGATTCCAGTTTGTCGGAGTCATCGCCTGAGCCCGAAGCTTCTTTGTAGTTTGCGTACTTAACATCAACATCTTTTCTGTTTGAAACATATTTGTTTTGATCTAGAGCTGGCGCATTTATTTTATTCCTGTTACTGTGTATCAATCGTGGCAGGGGTGCGGCTCATTTGTCCTATTTTTGAAATATAATTTTCTTTTGTCGCAATGTCGCAGAAGATTGTACAACCGACTTTGTTCGTGTTTGAATTCGATCAGGTTCTCTGGCAAATCTTCCTTCTCAAGTAGTCGTTTCTGTGTCTTCTTTGTAATTTGCAGATCGAGGGTCGAGGAGGGTCATGGGCAAGAGGCAGAAGAAGAAGCAGGCGCGAACCAGTAGGAATATCCAACAGGTGCAGCGAGCAAACGCATCTAAGCAAGCTGCTGCGTCGATCATGTCGCCTGTGCCCTTGTCTTCGCAAGGGACAAGTGTTGACGATTCCACTCTCGAATATCCTGCGCTAAACATTGAAGGTTCAAGCTGCTGTCAACATGTCGAGAGTAGCGTCAATTTAGACCAGTTGCGCTCCCAGGTTGCCACAAAACCCTCGCCCCAGTGCCATGATAGTATATTGGAAAAAAAGGTCAAAGGAGCGAAACTACCAGCAGTGGACGAACCTCTGTGGACATGTCTTGCTTCTGATCAGACTAAATGCGGTTCTCAAATAGTTGAAGCGAAGGTTGATGAACAGAACGATGATTGTTCCAGTGGTTTCCCGATTGATGTCTCTCATTTAAAGACACAGAAATCAGCAGCTGTATTGCAGGACAGTAGAGCTCTTCATTCGAGCACCTCGGAGAAGAAGGATGCTGAGTCGGAACAAGACGATCCCTCACCGTCCAAAAATCCCACTATGGAAGTGGAACCAGTCAGGTCGTTCAAAACCAGACGGGTGATGAAGGGGTTGATGAATTTGGGCAACACTTGCTTCTTCAACTCAGTGATGCAGAATCTGGTTGGTGTGAGAATGCTCCGAGAGCATTTTAGTAAAGAAACAATTGCGCAAGAAGGTGTGTTAAAGTTATCTCTTAGGAAGTTCTTTATGGAAATGGATCCCAACCCTATTGAGAGATCAGATTTGGACATTGGAGCCGAAAGATCAACCAGGGCTCGCTCTTTTGGAAATGGTATCGTGGGCGGCGCTGTAAATCCGAAATTACTATTTTCTGAGATCTGTAAGAAAGCTCCAAGGTTTAGGGGTTTCCAGCAGCAGGACAGTCATGAGCTTTTGCGGTGCTTACTGGATGGATTGCACATGGAGGAAGAAAGCATAAGGAAGGCCCGAACTGGTGCGGATAAGGAGATTGAGTCAGCTACTGATTCTAAAGTCAAAGAGAACGGAAGCCTCGATAAAGTCCCCAAAAGGTCCGAGACATTGGTGGAGTATATGTTTGGTGGGCAGTTTTCAAGCACTGTGACTTGTTGTGAGTGTGGTCACTCGTCGGTTGTGTATGAGCCCTTTTTAGACTTATCTTTGCCAATTCCGTCTAAACAATCTCTTGGCAAGATTTCGGAGCCTATGGGCGTGCCCATATTGTTTGCACCGCAAAATAAAAGAGAGAACTCTTATGGCAATGGAATTTTAAGCTCCAAAGCTCCACAAAGTTCAACGTTAGTATTGGGACCAGTAGATGATATGGGTACTGTCATCAAGGATAAAAAGAGGTTGGAAATACCTGCTTCTATTGTTGGTTTTAATTTAGAATGTTGTGCTCGTGGTGGCGGCGGTGTAAGCTTTAACACCTCCGACAGGAATGATTTGAAATCTGAGGAATGCGAGAGAGAACCTACGACTGGTGATAAGGAATACGGTGCTAGAGGAGTTGGTCCACCTGCTACCCCTATTTCCTGTGAGATTGTAGCGGATGGTGTTGCGTGTTCTAGCACAGGAAACTATACCGATCCATGGTTTGAAAACGCGGGGGAGCATGTCAAGGAGATTGGCAAAGAGGGTGTTGGTACTGCGATACTGGACGATCAACGGGTTGGTTCCGCTACTTCGGCAACTGTTAGCGAATCACCAGATGTCATAGCTGATCTATCTAGAGATGTCGAAGCTAATTCTCAAGGAGTCCCTTCAACCGAGCATGGAGGGGGAGTTCTTGAGAACTCATCTAGGAAGATTTTTTCTGCGCAAGAGCTAATAGTTTCCCAAGCTGTTGAGCCAGTTGATGTTAAATACCAGATGGAAGAAGTAACCGTCCCGTATGGTCCCCATCTTCCATCTGAAGGCGATGGCTGGACGGAGAACAAGTGTATGGCCCTGGTTCTGCTTCCACCTAGTAATCCGTTGTCAGAGGTGGAGATGCACACTCTTGTAGGCTGCTCTGAGAAACCATCGGCTGGAAATCAATCCAGCATGAACCAAGAAGCCACATCGACAAGCGATAGCAAGTTGGGGTCTATCATTCCTGCTGAAGAAGAAGGTGAAATTGATGTTGGTATAGGAGGTCTCTTTGATGATACGGACTACTGTTTGCCTTCGAGGAATGACACAGCGTCTGTGTCTCAAGGTTGGAAATCCGATGATTTTGCCTGCTCCAATAGTATGGACGCTCTTGTTGTTTCTGATGGTAGATCTGGATCCGCTAGGGTTCTTCGCGAAGAAGATTCGTATCCCACTATGTCACTTGAAGGCTGTTTGCAGGCTTTCACTAAGGCTGAAGTTCTGTCAGGAGAGAATGCCTGGGCTTGTGAAAATTGCACTCGGATTGCGCATAGCCAGCTAGAACTCGATAAACCTATTTTGGACAAAGGAGGACAAGCACCACATTGCTTAAATCAATCTTTTAAACCTGAAGACCACAGTAATGAGATTGGACCTTCTTCAGACAGTAACAGCTCTGTTGAAAGAGCGAGGAAGTTGGTAACTTTCAAATATCCTGAACGTTGTACTGAGAATTTGAGTAGTTCCATGAGCATGATGTTAGATATATCACAAGGAACAGATGAGTCTGGAGAAAATTCAGATAAACGAGAAAACGGGGGCATGAGTAAATATTTTCCAATGGAGATGTTTAATGGATTGGTTGAAAAGCAAAATGACGTGGAAACGGTAGATGGCAGAGCTGGGGCAGATTTAGACGTCAAAGAAGAATATCAACCTTTAAGTTCCTCCAAAGATGATACAGGTGAGCCATATGTTATGGTGGATGGTCCAACAGCAAATGCTGATGAAACTGAGAAGAGTACGGCATCAAGTTGTGGTAGAAGTGATGTCAGTTCCGCCGAAAGGGCTCATAGCCCAGATAGGAATGGGACGGCTTCTGTAAGAGCTGGTCTTGAAGCAGTTCCTTCTAGGCCGAAGGAGGAAATTTGTGCGAAGAAACTGGAAACGGATGCTCCTAAGTTGGTCAGCGTGAAAAGGGATGCAACGAAAAGGTTCCTCATTAGTAAAGCGCCACTCGTCCTTACTGTGCACTTAAAAAGGTTTGCCCAAGACTCTTATGGGCGATTGAGCAAGCTGGGCGGCCACATCACCTTTCATGAGCAGCTTGATCTGGGTCCGTTTGTGGACCAAAGGTGGGTACACACATCCCTTGTTAAAGTTTTAATGGAAAATTTCCCCTATTCTCTTTCGATTTCGCAGGTAAAATTTGAAGAGGACACTGATAATTTTGTTTCAAATGGTTGCAGGGATGGGGTTAAGCAAGATGGTGTCTACCAACTAATTGGTACTGTGGAGCACTCTGGGACAATGCGAGGCGGTCACTATGTTGGGTATGTCAAAGGAGAATCAGATGAATCCATAGAAGGCACATCTACATGGTATTATATCAGTGATTCACATGTTCGTAAGACAAGTCTAGAAGATGTATTGCAGAGTGAAGCCTATCTACTCTTTTATGAAAGGCTATCTTTTGATTAGGGAGCATTTAAGGTTGATTACAAGTGCTTAGAACAATCTTTCTGAGAAAATTTTAACGTTCACGTCTTCAAATTAGTGCGGAGTCTAAATACTTAGGTCTTCTTCTAGTTCCGGCGGAAAGAAGTCATGTTTTTTTTAATTCAGCATGTTTGATACTACGGGGTTTTTATTGCTCCGTCATTTTTACTCAAATGTCTTTTGTAAGCCCTGTCAAAGTAGGAAGTTCAAGGGTGTGTACAATATCCTTGAGCCAGAGGTCTGAACGTGTTCTGCAGGTATCAGTGAGTAGTAAGTAGCGCTCCAAGTAGAACATGACGGGTTTCTACGTGTTAGAGAATTTTACGAGGCAGTTCATAGGTCAAGATAGAAAACGGAACTGACTTGGTTCCAATTGCTGCACAGCACGCCTTCTTGGGCTAGTGTTTATCTTGTAGGATTTTGTGTCCCTGGAAATATTAGAGGCTTAGAGCCGTTGGTGTTCTTGCATCAAATTTGTTATGTTATTTATCAGTCCTGAATTGGCCTTTTATCGAATCTACAAAGTTAATCTTGATTCTTGTTGTTTGAGTTTGCAAATTCGAATAATATTGTTTGTATATCAATGTTTTCAAATCTTTTCACAGCAGTTGATCACTGGTTAATTTAATCACATGAATTTTTTTCTTAATGATAACAAAGTTGGAGATAGATGCATTGTGTTGAAGCAGGTGATGATGTAGGTGATTATTTTTCAAAATATTAAATTGCCGGCTTTCATCTTTTTCAACAAGCTTCAAATGGAACTAAGTAGCTTTCGTTGTGCATTAAATCTCATTATAATTATAACTGGGCATCAGTATTCTTTCCGAATCTAATTGAAGTCACTTTTGTCCCACCTCTTTCCACCTGCATTCTCACCGCTTGCCTACCACCTTCTATACAAGATAATTCCTACAACAATCCTCTTTTGAAATAAGAACATGGAATACTATCTTTGGGGTGGATGATGTCAAGTAAATGATGAGCTCTTATTTATTTATTTATATTTTTTTGATTGCTAATTTGACCACTCCTAAAGAATACTAAGTACAAAAAATCTAAACGTACAGAGTTGATTAAATTACTCAATTGAATTTGTAAATGCTTATTTTAGCATGTGAATTTGGATAAATGCCTACTTATTTTGATGAATTTTTATTTTGATGAATGCCTAATTAGTTAATAATTGGATCAGGATTAAATTGCTAATACAACACCATATCTATTAAAACAAGATAATTCAAATCCCAAAATAAACTATTTGTTTCATATAGATACAAATTGTGAATTAGTTTGAATGTTAAAAGAAGTGATTTAAAAAAATCCTTTCAGTATTTTTATATTAAAACATGTCATTTTTTTCAAGTGATAAAAATAACAAAATTGACAGCTTATATTGTAATATATATGTATATATATATATATATATATATATATATTTATTTATATATATTTATATATATATATATATATATATAAATATATATATAATGTATGATAAAAATTTAATAAAAATGTGACAAATATATCAAATCAATAAATTATAAATAAAATCTAATCCATATAAATTGCATAATCTTATCAGCACATTGATTTTTCTATACAAGAATTTTTTTTTTACTTCTCTTGTTCATTTTCCTATAAAAAGCCTTCAAAAGCAAGACTTAAAAATATCTTTGGCAATTAAGATTAATTACTATTTGTCATTATCATTTAGCACAATTTTTGTAATTTAACTTTCATTTGTTTCATACAATTCTACTTTCAATACTAATTTATAACCAAATTAATCAAGTAATATATATATATATATATATATATATATATACATATACATATATATATATACATATATATACATATATATATATATATATATATATATATATATATATATATATATATATATACATATATATATATACATATATATATATATATATACATATATATATATATACATATATATATATATACATATATATATATATATACATATATTTATTAGGATTTTTTTATATTAATACCAATTTAATTACATATTTTAAAAATTTAAAAATTTAATTAGAAACATATTTTTTAAACTTGAAATTAATTCATAGCAAAATAACACTATATAATATGAATGTGTATCTTTATCTTTCAAATTCTTATTATATTTTTACACTATTGTTATATAATAAGAATTTAATATATATATATATATATATATATATATATATATATATATATATATATATATATCTTAATGAAAATTCATACCATTGACTATAAAAAAGCTATAAAAGTTTAATTTGTGATTCCTAATTTGACCACTCCTAAAGAAATATTGACCAAGAAAATAAAATAAAAAAGAATACATATATATATATATATATATATATATATATATATATAAAATAGAACCATTTATGTTCGTTATATTTTACAACAAATAATAGAACTTATAGTTCATTTTTCCTTTGTATTCTGTTTCTTAAACTAAGTAATTATGTGATCTTTTGAATTGTATCTCAAAATTCTTCAATAGTTGCTTTATACTTGATACATTTAGTAGCGAGATCATTGCATCTTTGCTTGTATCTTTGATCATGTTCTTCACTTGAATGCCACTGCCTTGTCCATTGTAGTGTACAAATTGTAGATAAGTGATCCACACATTATAATTTTGTCTACAATTCCTACAACAACCAATGATAGAAAAAAATTAACCCCAATCTTATAAGCCTCTTCATCAATTGAGACAAGTAGGTTCTAGTTTTCCTTCAAACCAAAAGAATATTATAATACCTTATTATACTTACTGTAAGCCACATCAAATAGGTCAATGTTGAATTGAGAATGGAATTATTTGTTCCAAGTGTAGATCTCACCCTACCAATTATTGTAGAAAATACAATTAATCTATTACTTCAATCTTCTCTTCAAAAGAATATGGTAACCAAATTAGAGGAAATGTGTGAAGAGTTAAATTAATAGATCTTATTATTATAAATAGTCCATCAAACATGTATTACAACTATTCAAGCAATAGTCAAAACTATCAATCTTCAATGATAGTTCAAACCAATCATAGAACCATGCAAAGACCTTTAGAATTTAATCACAATCAGAATCAAAACCAACAACTACGAACTTCTCAAGATGTTAGATACATAATGGCTTAATCTGATGTACCTTCTATATCAAATTCACCACCTCTTCAATCCAGCTTAATGTAATTAAATAGCAAAAAAATCTCTCTAAACAATGCCTATTTGCCTTCTTTAGTTGTAACTATAAGTATGAATGCTAAAAGACCAATAGACTTAGCACAACTTAAAGAAGATGAATTATTTATGGATATTTCAAAAGAATCACTTTAGTTTGTAGAATTGTCAAAAATTATTAGAAGAATAGCTAAAAAATTGAAAGACAAACAACCTTCTTCTTTAGTTGAACGTTATTTGGAAGAGTACCAATTTGTAGACAAAGAAGGGCCTTGGATTCCTAACACCTTTTTGAAACAACCAATAGCTAATAGAACCTTCAATCATTCAAAACCTTATGATTTATGGCAAGACCTTTGTAGAGCTAGAGCTAACAATTCTTTTGGTCAATTGATTTAAGTAACGCCAACTATCAAAAAGGATCTCCAAGAAGGAGTGACATTATAAAAGAAAGCTAAGAATATGGAAGGAATAGTTAGAGTTGAAATTAATGATTTAAAAGAGAATATTACCTTAAAAGAAAAAAAAGACAATAGAGAGCATAAGCTTGTTAAAATAGATATGAAAATAGTGGATAAGATAATTCGTAAGATCATAATAGATGATGGAAGTAGCATCAATATTATGCATGAATCCACCATAAACAAATTGTATTTAAAATTCACTTACAACGCAATTATGAAAGTGAAGTTAGCTGATTAAAGAACTTCTCAACCTCTAGGTCAAATTAGTGACTTTTACATGTAAGTAGGAGGTGTAGATTATATAGTATCATTTTATGTGATATATTTATATGAAAAAGCAAATAGTTACTCACTTTTGTTAAAAAAGAGATGATTGAGGTAATTTAAAGGAATGCCTAATTAGAAGGATTCTAAGCCTTACTTCATTTTTAGACCTTTAGACAATTGCACAACAACCATAGTATCTAGTCATTTTAGAGTCCAATTTTAAACTTTATTGGAAAAAACATTGACATTCATAGAGGTCAATCAAAGCAATTTTATCCAATCTAATTCTAATTCAATTTCAATCCAACTATTGCACCAATAAGATGTATTGGCCATAGATAATATAAATATGAAGATGAAGGTAATTTTTTCAAATAGCTAAAAGAGAATCCTTAAGAAGAAGAAGACATCGGCATTTAATTTATATAAATAATTAACGAATTAGAACTTGAAGATGATTGTTTAGATCTTGAAACCTTGGTTGATGTCATTTATATAAATGAAGCCTTTAACTTGGAAATCGATAGAATTCAAGTTGAAGACTTTGACACTATCATGAAAGAAGAAGCCATCATGTCTTTTTTTTACAATTCAAACATATATTCTAAGGCATTGAAGTTGGACATGATGTATTTACTTATCCATTAGTACCTAAAGATTAATACTATAGACCTATTAATCCCATTCATGTAGTAGAATAAGATTGGATCAAAATTCGAGTCAATTATAATGAAAAGAAATCCAAGTATGTTAAGTTTGGATCTCAATTAGGTGAAGAAGAATCAAATAAAAGTTATTATAAAGAATATATAGTGTAAACATTAATTTCAATATTAATATACATTATCATTTTTATAGTGGTTCTAAGCCAAATTTATAGATTACTTATATCTTTAGTATATTTTTATACTAGAATCAATATATAGGTAGCAAACATTATTAAGTATTTTTCTTTGTGAGTCATAGTCATAACTTATGTGACTAGTAGAACTGGATTAAATTGCTATGGATTTATAATCATATAGTTCCTAGTTCAAATCTTAATAGAACTATAGGTGATATCCATATTTAACTAGTAACAAATTAAGAAGTTGCTACATGTCGAGACATGTTGAGTCTAATATATATAGTTGTTTTTAATTTTTGTTCTTAGATTAAAGCCTTTGTATATTTTTTCTATATTATATTTTTAATAAATAATAGTATCTATTTTTATAATTTTTTATTTTATTTTTATTATTATTTTATAGATTGTATAAAATACAAGAGTTGGATTTATCTCTATTCTCACAATTATTCTTCTATGGTTCTCATATGTAAGTTCCATTAATAGATCTTAATTGATAGAATTCTTAAAAATATAGGTTTTAATTATTTAAGTTTTAAAATATTATTTTTAGTAAGTTTTTATTTTATTTTATTTAATTATTTATTAAAATTTAAAAATATTTATAAGATATATGGATCTTATTAAAAAAAATTCATAAAAATAAAGTCTAAGTAAGTCTTCAAGATAATTAATTTAATTGGTTTAATATTTTTACTTATTATTGAGTATTAATGGTTGATTATTAAGACCAATGTCTAAATTGGCT